TTATCGATTCAGAATGTGCTCTTTTAAGTTTGCTGGGGATTAGAATGGAAAATGGCAGAAAAACTCAAGCTCTGAAAATGGTCAATAAATGAAATAAATGGCACAATATTACATGAACGTGAATAACAGTTATCTGAATGGCATCTCGTTATGACGAATTATCATCTAAACATGAAGTCAAAGTAACTGAATTTGATGTTTGAAAATCAAACTAATCTATTGATTGGATTCAATGTCAACAGTGAGGACACGCAATAACACATTCATCTGATGCTCATGTTCCATGATAATTATAGATTAAAGTCATTTATTACATTCAACTGTTATCAGCACATTGCTGACTTAATAATGCGCTTTGTTGAACAATAAGTAAAATGTCTTCACTACGAAAGGGCTGTTGAGCTGACAAAATCAGTTGGAAGCTGACATTTGGTGTTTTGGTTTAATATAAAAAGAATACTTGATTGAACGTGGTTGGAAAACTGCAATTGTGTACTCATATAGCATTAAGTCTTCATCAGTGTAGTTTTGGCTCCAGTTTTCATACTAGACACATTTGCTGATAATGGCATTTGTGTTAAGATTGTATTAACCAGAACGCCGTTTTTTTAACAATTCAATAAAACTATTGTTAATTGGTAATGCATAATTCATATGAGAACATGTTGTTCTTAAAATATTCATAGTGATCAAATACTAACGTTCACAAGAAAAAAGGTTGTAGTGACAATAATTTTGCACTGAAAGTGAATTCAAAATATTATTTCTTTTTACTGCAGATTTGAATTGACAGTGTTGTGTTTATTTGTCACGCGATGTCTATTTTCCCTTAAAACATATTTTTTCTTTAGCGACTGATATTCACAGATCTTATATAGTTGGGAAATACATTATGGTGTTGACATTCAGATTAGACATTGGTTCTGAAATACATAAATCTTGTAAAAATGTCATAATCTCTATAGGTTTCTTGTTAGGGGATGGGGGTGATTCTGTTTTATCTACAACCATAAGACTAAACCAAAGGATTAGCAAATATGGCATGTTATGCGCAGACTCTCACCACCCTATTGGACATAAGGAATAACAAAAAGTTTGCTGTTATACCATTATCTCGAGCTACAACATTGAATTCATTACGTGTTCCTGTTTTCTAATACAACAAGCTTCGGCTTCTTTAGTATTTAGAAGATTGTAATGTAAATTGTTCCTGCTCAATTAAAAACTGCATTGACACAAAATGCAAAATCAATCATAGCATCGGTTGATATTATTAACATTGATATTATTAATATTGACCTAGGTTCTTTCGTGGTTATTTTTAACCTTTGCATCTTTTCCGACACAATTTTATCATTAGGAAATAAATCGCTCTTGTTATTCACTGAAAATGTCAATAAGTTTTGAGTAAAAAAAATTATGTAAAAGAGAATAAAAAAGTGACATGTATATGGAAGTTTAGTTAAGATTATTATTCTGGATGTCCGGAAGAAGATGTCATGTAATTTTCCAAAGGCCACGTCACGTCACTTCCGAGTTAATTCGAATAATACTGTATCTTAAGAAAGTTACAATGACATAATACATAAACATTAAAATCATTATGGTGTCAGTTTGTGTATTATATTTCATTATTCACAAGTCCTACCAGAGAATAGAAAATAACATTACGACTTATAACTCTGACATTTACCACACTTTACTCTAAATAAGTTTTAAGGGTACTCTTGGGACTACCCTTCTCATTTCCTCATTATGTACATGCACTTAATACAATAGTAGGATAGTTTATCACTCCTATATTCCCAATCCATAGTCAACACTTGTCAACAAGCTAATAGCTATGACCTATGTTTTAACTTTATTAGCTTTAGCACCAAAATATCTCCAGAGACATTCTATTAAATAGCTCCCGCTTCAGATATTCGAGTAGTTGTAATTATGCGTTGGTAACTAATATGCCAAAATTACTCCGAAAATTTGCGGACAACATCAAGTATTGACTTAATTGCAGCCCAGATAGTGGAAGGTCCAGAAATACTCATCTAAAGACTCTTTTACAACTGTATGCTATTTACTTTTCATACTGCAAAACCAAATCTTACAAACCGGTACATTTTGTTTTGAAGCATGGACATGTATGATAAAAGCTAGTTCTCACAAACACGTTGTTAAGTATTTGGAAAGTGATATTGTTGTCTGTAATTCTAGAATTTTGAATCGCATTTAAGAAAAACTTTCCACTTGTCCCGTAGTATAAGTATTTTACTTGATCTGGATTAAAATGTTGAAATTCGGCATTGGTCTTTTTATTTGAGTTAATAAATTCCTTTGCAACCAATTTAACAATTTGCCGTTTACGATTCTTGGTCAAGGAACCGGTCAGTCTCTCCGGGATAATCATTCACCATCATTAGTGGTACTTAATGGGAAAGGTAGTTTTTGCTGCGGCTAGTCGGGTGTGTAATGTCAAGCCAGTCACAGCCACCAAAGGTGTTGGCTCATGGGTCTAGACACAGTTAATAAGAATATTGTATAGTCTTCTGATGAAAATATTTGAGCCTTTCAATTGTTTCTAATGTATGCACTTATACTTGAACTTATATTATATTTTTTTAAACAAAAACTACACTATTATAAATATATATATATTTTAAAAAGCTTTGGCTATTATATTTAATTGAGATGTTTTCTATTTTGATGCGTTTATCTGCACTAAAACGACTCTGAATTATGAGTAAGGTCATGAAAGAAAATTCACTGATGCGACATTTTTGTCAGCACTGGGTCCTGTTCAACACTACAAAAACTCCTATGGTCCTACATTAAAAAGGGATCAGTTTCATTTCCAAAACTTGCGTCCATCTATAAAAGTTATATTTTCGAAACTGCATGATGAGATGAGTTCCTTTCCATGTTGCTTAAGTCTTTAACAATTCAAAAAAAAGAACGTTCCACGTAAGAAATCAGTTCTGGAGATAAAATACTTTTACAATAGTGTCTGGGAATACATCATAGATAACTATTTTGAAACAATCCTATTTTAAAAGATTAAAACAAGGCTACTTATTTTCACTCTTCCGATTGACCTTTGAATATCTATGGTGCATGTTATCATGACATGATGACTTCAGTATCTCAAATGCCACTCGTCTTGAATGGTTCAAAGAGGACAAACAAACTCATTTGAACAAAAAAATTAATCTTGGTTCCTTTTTGGCAATTTATTTGCTGTCCATAACTACCTTCGGGTCAAATTAATCAAATTCTTAAACGAATTTTCTTAAATACCCAGAAAAAGGCGTTTCATAAGACGCTTAGTACTAGAGGCTATCTGTTCATTTAAGATATTTTCATAGGTTCTTAAGATTTTTATACCAATTGGTATTCATTTATATGTACCACTTTTCAAAAATAAAATCTGAAACCTGGTATACCGTGTCACCATTCAGTAAACACACATAAATGATTTAATTATTCAGGAAAAGGATGCTACATTTCTATTTGAATTGGTAGAAATATATAGAGGAATGCTGTGAAATTGTACACCTAATGCAAATTAGAAAAAAAAGGTTATTAATAATTTAGTAATACGTGTTATATTTAATAATGTTTTATAAAGAATTGACAATCAGTTGATCAATTACTTCAAAAAATAAAAATGATAATGAACTGTGGTAAAGCGTGATAGACGATGACAAGCTAACCTTGGGATCATGTTGGACGAGGATCAGTGTACATTTAAGATCTCTTGTCAGTTTAAAAATGTAAAAGAAAGGCCAATTCCTGTCCTGACACCCATCCCCCTCTTCCCCTTCATTACACACTGTACGGGGTTTTCAGGTAGCAATGACGTTTGAATTATACCATGTTTTATTAACAGCACTCTAAATATACCAGCCCATGTCCTAGACATACCCTTAAAGGGTTATAAAAATGCAAAATAGGAGATAAAGATGTACATATTTCACTATCGACATCCCTATCGTTTAACAAGAAAAAATGTGTCACATCGTTCTAATTGACCTATCCTTACTCTAGAATGGAATTCCCCAATGAAAGAATAAACAGAGAAGAAATATATACGATTTTTTTTTATTTAACCTAAATATAGATATCATTTGAGATTAAAATGTCATTCATGATAGTCCTAGACATAACTAAATGACACAATTGATTCTTTATAATTACATTATTGTTGAAAACACTTCCATGTGTTTATCTCAGTAATGGATTTTCACGAGTAGCTTAAAATTACAGAACAATAATAATAAAAAAACGAATAATCAGAATGCATTAACATTGTTATTCTATATAAAGTATTATTTTTATATCGATTTGTATAAATTCATAATGTAAATCCTACTTTTCAATTGTTTGCATCATATAGATATTAATATATCCATGATTTAAGGAAGATTTTAAATTGTTAGTGGATAAAAACATCTGTGATAAAAATTTACATATCTGTCTAATATTGTTTTTGAACTGTGTTTATCAGGGAAATTATAGCAGGTTAGATTAATTATTCAAATTTTTTCACATTGTCTTGTTGTTAACGTCCGGTTTATGGGCATAATATGAATAACATTCTGTAATATTGCTCGAGATCCAAAATGGATTCAGACTTAAGAAAATTTCAGAGGGTTAATTCTCACTAAATTAAGGGTCAAATGATTGATTAATATATTCAGATTGATACAGATTGATAAGTAAGAGATCTAACATACCATGAAGATTGTTAAAAAAGGAATCTCACTCGGTTTTCAAATTCAAAAGCCCGGAATGCCACATGGTATTCAGATTGTTAAATGAGGAATGTAATTTTCCAGATTGTAAAGCAAATGATGTCCCTTAATATTCAGATTCTAAAGTGAGGAATGCTACTTGATGTTCAGATTTTAAAATGCAGAATATCACATTCAAGATTGTTAAGTTAGTGATATCGGTTGTCTCTTGGATTGTATAGTGAAGGATGTATCTTAATTTTTAGATCGTCCAGTGCTAAATGCCACTTAATATTCAGATCGTTTAGTGCTGGATGCCACTTAATATTCAGATCGTTTAGTGCTGGATGCCACTTAATATTCAGATCGTTTAGTACTAGATGCCACTTAATATTCAGATCGTTCAGTGCTGGATGCCATTTAATATTCAGATCGTTCCATGCAGGATGCCACTTAATAACCAGATCGTTCAGTGCTGCATGCCACTGAATAATCAGACCGTTCAGTGCTGGATGTCACTTAATAATCAGATCGTTCAGTGCCGGATGCCACTTAATAACCAGACCGTTCAGTGCTGGATACCACTTAATAATCAGACCGTTCAGTGCTGGATGTCACTTAATAATCAGACCGTTCAATGCTGCATGCCACTTAATAATCAGACCGTTCAGTGTTGGATGTCACTTAATAATCAGATTGTAGTGTGAAGGATTTATCTTAATATTCAGATCGTTCAGTGAAATATATCTTTGATATACAGACTTATTTTTGTTCAAGTGAGGAATGTTACTGTATGATTTATTTGTCAATTGAGGCATATCGGTTTATGATATTGATCACCAAGTGAGTTCGGTTACTGTATAACTTAGTATGTCAAGGTTTTGTTTAGTAACCGAGGTATGTTACTGCATGATCTAAATTGTCAATATTGAGAAATGTCGGTGTATGATTAAGGCTGTCAAAGTGAGATGTTATTGTCAAGTTGCAGCTATGATCTGACTGTAAAAGTCAGATGTTATACCTTCATTAAGAAATACTTACTCATTTAAGATTGGTATACTTTCTTATGTGAAAGTTCTGAAATGTTTTGCCAATATTTTGTTTTGGATCTCGGGTTTTGCATTGCGGTTTGGATCGTTACTACTTGGTTTATTTTGTATGTATCTATGCGAGGTTGTCATGTAACGTTCTCTGGCATATATTTTAATCAAAATTCTATTCTAGTGACTGAACTTGAATTACGTTTCAAAATAAAAAGAAATCGATTTTAGAATACGAGACTTAATACTCGAAAAGAGAAGTGTAATCTTACACAAGACTAACTCGATTATAGAAATAGAAAAGTTCACAATGACAAATTGCAGGACTAAGGTTGGAATCTTGCTTTGATGATAGAGTTGTCTTCCTTATAACAAAGCTAATCTCCTTATCATTGTTAAGATCTCGTGGGTTAATTCCATTGTCACTGCCTAGCAATGTGTTTAATTTAACAAATACATGGGTAGTACAAAAAGAGCGTACATGTACACTGTTATGTTTGATCTTTTACTATTATTAACTCTTATAAAATAGGGTATCATATCTAGCATTGAAACTGAGTGCATTTATATGATGATTATTATGATGATTAAGAAACAACAGTTTTTATGGATATAGACTTCTATTTATTATATAACACAACGTTTCATTACACATACAGGTAACGTTATCAAGTGATTATCACACATTTAAATTGTGTGGGAACGAATCCGTTATAGTTTTTGGCTCATATTGTGTTATAATAACACCATTCCAAATATGGAGTGTCTACGCCTCCGCCTCATTACTTGATAACGTTACCTGTATGTGTGTGTTCTGTAATAAATAGAAGTCTATATCCATAAAAACTGTTGTTTCTTAATGTGCTGTGATACTTCTTAATGTCTTAATAGGATTATTATGATGATGTTCAGCGACAACTCGTATTGCAAATATCAATTGTAAAATATATAATGTGTTGAACAATATTTCCAAAAAGTTGGTTTTTTTAACATGCATATATAAGAAACAGCATTACAGTAGGTAATTCTGACAAATTCATCAGCCGTATCTGACAATTGAATAATTAGACAGTATTGTAGAATGTGTTTTGACATTTACTGCCCATGTCAGTGAGATTGTCACAAGGTGTACAAGTTTAGGATTTTTTGAACAAAGGGATCTTAATTTTCCGCGGAAAAATCTTAATGCTCAGTTCACACCAACGGCGCTTTGATGGCGCTTTAAAGCGGCGTACAAAGCGGTACCAAAGCGTAACAAAGCTCGACTAAAGCGCCAGGGTCGTAATAGATCGTTGGAAAGCTTTGGGCAAAAGCTGGATATTTGGCAAGAGCGCCAAAAAATTTTAAACTGTTTAAAAATTTTGGGCGCTCTGTCCCGAATTGATTAAAGCGCCGAGAACGTATCAAAGCTTAACAAAGCCTAACAAAGTTCAGCAAAGCTTGACTAAAAGCGTAGGAAAGCTTAACAGAGCTCTATTCAAAGCGGGGACCCCAGTTTTCACGGTCTGTCACCACTTGATCAAAAGCGGCATGAAATCGGCCATTTCGAATGATTTAAAGCGTCATAACCGCATCAAAGCTTAATAAAGCTTATCAAAGCGTGATTTAAAGCGTGATAAGGCCTGATCAAATCGGGAAATAATTCGTCCCCAAAGCGTAACCAATTCGTATCAGAGCTTATCAGAGCGTAACATTACTTAGGAGATCGTGATTTTTTCTAAAAAGTAAACAAAAAATGATGGCGCTTTGCTCGCCGATTTAAAGCGCGGCATTCGCCGTTGGTGTGAACTAGGCATAAGCGACCACTAGTCGAAATTGAGAGTAACACTCTAAATTATAACCAATTATTCAGTCTTTCAGGAATTTCTGCTTGTCATCTGTCATTGGGTAAGTTGGAATGTGCATTGATATAAAACTGAAAGAATAAGACAGCTATTATATTGTATTGACCTATGTCTACTATTATAATAAAGAAACCTATTAGCCATAAAAACCTACTGACATGGAACAATAACTATTTATTGAATTTTTTTATAAGATGATAGATAACTGGTTTGAAATAGCTTGAAATGTTTGATATCTAATGCAGGTCCCAATGGAATTGATATTTTGTGAAGTTTTCTTAATTTTTCTTTTTGGATGCTATTTATTACCATTTATGTTGCTCTCAAGAGACTCTTCAAAAGTGATCACACATCAGTAAGGGGAACGATACCAAAACGCATAGAACATAATGTTAGGTACCCGACTGAGCTCAAATTCTCATTGTATTTTCACTTTTGGCATTGGTCTTCCGGTGATTAAATAATAAAAAGCGTAGAAAAATTCAGATTATGATAAAACCATGGCTTAAAATATGTCATATCTTTGTCGCGGCATAATTTGCTAAGTTATCATTTTCCTTAAAGCAAACTGTTACTTTTTAACGTCAACTTCATTTTCCTTGGACATGCATCATTGTAATTCTTTTAAATAGTCATTTGAACAGATAATAGAATTGACTTTTATCTCATACCTCTCTGCTTTTGGTTTTCCTGCCGTTATCGAGCATAAATGACAAATTGGGCCGGCTAGTTTCACAACCATTCTTTTTTAATTCTTCCAATTGTCAAGGAAGCCCCGTGTACATGATCATACATTTGTTCGAAACAACATCAATCTTTTGTAGAAGATTTCTGTTAACACTGTCAAACATGAAACAACATTTGCATGTCGATGTATAACCATGTATAACGAATTATTTAGGGAACATGCTATTTTCGCAGGGAAAATAAATCACCATGGATGCTAAAAGGAGCCTGTTGAGTGTTGCTGATCATCAGTTTATTATACTACGTCCCAAAGGCAAGGGGTCAGAGACCATGTGAAAGGCAAATTTAGCAAATGACCATATGGAGTGAAATATAAGTTGGACACACTGAATCGCTGTGATTTTTTTTTATACAAACAGTATTGATGGTTGTTTTATGCTGAATTTAACTCCTGGAAATGAAACCAGTAATCGTTCCTGAAATCCATGTCTCCCGGAGAAACAGTCACATGATGTGCATACAGCTACTGATTTGGTTAGGATTGATTACGGATTGAAATATTGTCAACATTTATTGGGAAGATGAAACCCCCTGCTAAAAATTTGAACAGTGTCAACCACCTTTGACTAGCTACTACACGCGTCACTGTCAGTCCTTGCGATATGTAGCATTGATAGGGGAAACTGGGTTGAGAAATATGAAGGTATAATGTCGAACTATGCCGGAATGTAATTATAAAAGATTCACGTGGGAAAAGTTTAATTTTCCATTGACTAACATCTCGGTTGATGGAACGAAAGTCTTTCTCTGGGGACTAACACTGTCAAAACAAAACCTGAATAATAGAGTCATTAAAACAACATTAAACTTTCCAATCTTTTCAAATGAATTGCTTTAAATATGATTAAACTTTCAGGATAAGCTTTTGTAAGTAATATCACAATCTCTTTATTTACTTGTTAATTTTACATCATCATTATACCATTAACAGTAAATAGATCTGACAAACTGACCACAAACTTGCGGATAGATTCACGTTAATTAATACTATTGGAGATAATTTTAAGACTGAAGCCACAAAATAGAATTGATAAAAACAGCTTTTCTGGACCATTCCAAATTGAGGAGAATGACAAAGCCAATTGTTTTTTTGTAAGCCGTTAAATAAATATTTTTTTGTTTATAACAACATTGAAGGCATTCTTGAATGACCGGATGATATGTGTATGTGCAACAAATGTTCCAAATTAATCCATGTATCGGAGGGCAACTATTCAACGATGTAAATAATGTAAGAAACATAATTAAAACCTTAATGAATTTTCTTAACGTATAAATCTTATGGTCTTAAAAGACCCCTTTTGGATGTCCGAGATTATGTCTGTGTTTAGTGTAACTTTAAAATTGCGTGATGCATAAATCAAAACCAGTATCGTTATTAAGAAAGGGTGATAAATAATTAACCCTACTACGACCAGGATTGTTATGAGTTTTAATTATAAGATCTGAGACAGAAAGGCGTTAATGATCCAATTTAATGTTACGAACAGCATAATACTGCTCCCTATTGGGTTTAGGGTACGATATGTACATTATGTTGCATGTAAATAGTAATTTTTGTTTGAGAGCCATTGATTTGCTAGTTGTAATAATATGAATTATGATTCGATTTTCATATCATAGTGGAGATTTGTCCTCGATCGTTATCCCTTACATAGAACCAAATAGTGCCATTCGGTTTAAAAAACCGAGTCGGTGTTGCAAGTCGATCAAAGGTGATAATATGAATATGGTTAAAGAAAACGACTAATCTGAAGGCAAAATTTCTCTCATGAATATAGCCTTGCCTATCTGAACTATAGCCGATATGTGAAATTCGGTTTAGTTTGCTTGCTCAACATATCATTTGTCTACTTCT